CTGACTATTATTGGACTATGGACCTCCTTATTGGGGAAATTACACAGCCATAGTCAGCATATGTTAGGTCTTTAGGATCCCATTCCTGAATACATAAGAATGCATTTTACCACCACCCAGAGGATTGAATAAGGATAATTCAAAGAAAATAGGAAAAGAATCCATATAAGAACATGTTGATGCGCAACTTTGAATTGCTTAGAACTGAGACAAAATATCACATGAAAAGAGGCAGAGACAGACAAACATGCATAATCTTGGATAAGTCACTTTTCATTTTACCAGTTTCAGTTTCCTTATTAACAAAGAGATGGAAGTGTAGATGGTGACCTAGATCAGCCTACTGGAAGACCAAATCCTTTCTTACGTGAAACACCCAGAATCTCACATAGCACATTATTAGAAAGACTATCTTAGAGGATCTGTAATAAGAAGTATCCCATTTATTCTGCCCCCTGAAACTTCTAATCCAATTCTGAGAATATAAAGAAATACTATGCTGTAGAGGAAAAAAAAAAACAACCATAAGAAATTAACATGTGATAAGTATTATTAACTAAAGTACAGATTCAAATCTCACAAAATTTTTTGCTAGTGTACATTATTTGTTTTCAAACTTTATTCAAGATTCCGCTTTGTGTTTAGTTGCATTGAGCAGCTTCAGCTACATGCAACAAATTCTGGTAAATTCTCTTTTCATTTTTATTCTGTTACAAATATTTTCTAGTTTTACTTATTGTGGCTTCTTAGATACAACCATTATGTAAAAGTGGACATTTAACTTGCAAGTACATGGGGTTTTTAAGTAGCTTTGATATTAACTTCTCATTTAAACACTTTCTTCTCTGCAATCACCCTCTGTGTTTTTTCAGTCTTTTAACTTTATTGAGGCTTTCAATGGCTAAGTCAAAGATCTCTCTTGGTAAATGTCACATTGCACTTGAAAATATGTGGGTTATTTTCAAATATCTTTTGATATCGATTTCTAACATAATTCCAGAGTGATAAGAGAACAGACTCTGTATGATTTCAATACCTTTAGACCATGAAATTTTTGTACCTTTTTTTAATGTCCCTGGATATGTCCCAGTATCTCCTAGTTTATAGTCTATGGGAACTTGGATAGAATTTGTATCCTACTATTGTGTGAAAATTGTATAAATAATAATGTTGAATTGGTGCATGGTGTTTTCAAATCTGCTAAATGCTTCTACTTTTAGTATATTCATTCTATTAATTTTTGAGAGTTTGATATTGGAACTCTAACAAAAAATCTTAATTTACCTACTTAAAAATAATTGTAGTATATAGTGGAACTATATGTAACTTTGTTCTATATTTTCCAAGTCTCCTGTAAATATGTTATCATAATTGCTTTCATAATTTATTATAGTATCAAAAGGCTTTCATTATTTAAAAAGTTAAGAAGAAAGAGAAAAAAAGAGAAAGCAAGAAAACAGTTCAATTTATAATTTCATTAAAAAGAATAACATACCCAGAAATAAACTTAATCAAGGAGGTGAAAACTGTAAAACACTGATGTAAATCTTAAAACTGTAAAACATTGATGAAGGAAATTGAAGATGATACAAAGAAATTAAAAGATAGCCTGTGTTTTAGGATTGGAAGAGTTAATATTGTTAAAAATGTTCATACTACTCAAAGCAATCCACAAATTCAATGCAGTTCCTATCAAATACCAATGGCATTTTTCACAGAACTAGAAAAAAGTAATTCTAAAATTTGCAGTGGCCACAGGACTGGAAAAAGTCAGTTTTCATTCCAATCCCAAAGAAAGGCAATCCCAAAGAATGCTCAAACTACTGCACAATTGCACTTATCTCACACACTGGCAAAGTAATTCTCAAAATTCTCCAAGCCAGGCTTCAGCAGTACGTGAATCATGAACTTCCAGTTGTTCAAGCTGGTTTTAAAAAGGCAGAGGAAACCAGAGACCAAATTGTCATCATCCGCTGGATCATCAAAGAAACAAGAGAATTCCAGAAAAACATCTATTTCTGCTTTATTGACTATGCCAAAGCCTTTGACTCTGTGGATTATAATAAACTGTGGGAAATTCTGAAAGAGATGGGAATACCAGACCACCTGACCTGTCTCTTGAGAAACCTGTATGCAGGTCAGGAAGCAACAGTTAGAACTGGACATGGAACAACAGACTGGTTCCAAATAAGAAAACGAATAAGTCAAGGCTGTATATTGTCACCCTGCTTATTTAATTTATATACATCATGAGAAATGCTGGGCTGGAAGAAGCACAAGCTGGAATCAAGATT